ACACACATACAGACACACACATACAGACACACTAACTGCAAAGACTCCCTTTTTGTGCTTCGCACACGGGAGTCAAAAATTGTGTCTCAATCTGGTGAATTCTCTCAATTTGAAAACATTTTTTGCCATGTTTGGGAAGAGTGCCTTTGCTGACAGCAGTATTTCAAGATGTATTATCACTATAATGAAGAGTGACTTAGAATACCTGTTTTGGATGTGAAGGATCGTGCTTCAGGATTGAGACTGGAACCCGTACTATGAGATGAAACAGCAGCAGCAGTACCTGATGACTGACTCACTGCATCTGGTTTAGTTACCGGACCATTCTGCTGTGAACTTGACTGAGTAGTGGACTTTGGCTGAAAGGACACACATCAATGAGAATATATTAAACTGAGGTGTATCTTTGAGATCTATGTCAAGACAGAAGTAGAAGTAATTAGCATTTCATGTTACACCAGAAAATAGTCAAAGGCAAGATCTTTATAACTATCTTTGCTGTGAAATGTTTCTGCTTGTATGCAAACCCTTGATGCAAAGCAATTTTCACCATGATGCTTTTCTGCATGCATTGAACTGAAACAACGTCCACTGACCGAACAGGTCGAGTCTGTCATTAACCAATAAAAATGCTGTGTTGTACATGTACTAATAAAAAATTTTCTCAAACATCCAATATTGGAGATGGCATTTTTTTAATGCAATGGGGAAGTTACATGTAAAATATGCTCTCTTGGCACTGATTTTGACAAAAAAACTGTGAAAGGTAAACAGTGTGGAAGAAGTATTTAACATCTTTCACGGTCATCAACAGGTCATGTCGAAGAATAGTCTATCCGTTCACACCCCAATCATGATAGTCTCAATGAACACTGATTATTCGGACAAGTAAAACGATGTCCAAAGACCTTGTTTCATGAATTGACAGTCACTTTTTTAGTGTTTCAAAATATATATGGATTACTTCAGTATTGCAACATTGGGTTCATTATAAGAGGTAGGGGCTTTTACCCATGTCCGTTCTGCCCGTTGTTCTTGGCGTTCGGATACTTGAATCACTTACTTGGTTTTCCTTTTCTTTCTGATGAAACTGGTGTTCTGGTATCATGCTACCTTTCCTACTTTTCAATTGTCCAGAATATCTACAATAAACAAATTTGTTAAACAATACAGTAGGACATGGATAACACAGAAGGCACACTCCATATTTGTTCAACAGCATTTACTGGCTTGGGTGACAGTCAGTGAAATAGTCAATTCGTAAAAATTAACAACAGTGTTTATACAACATGATGGGAGTAAAGAATCCCCAGTAATGTAACATATAACACAGGTGACTTGCTGGCAAATACCAAATGTAACTGCATAATCCTGCTTCTGCTTTATGAAAGTAAACTACACAGTAATTGCAATTGACATACCCCATAGCAAGAGCAAAGATGTCCTTTCTTTTATCTTTCTCTTCCTGTCTTATTTTATCAACTCTCCGCTCCAATGCCTGCCCTAGATTCTGTACCATTGGATAGTATTGCAGAATCTGTAGAATAGTAATGTATATAATACGACACAGAGTAAGGTAAATTCTGGGTATGCATGGGTAACAAATATGGGAATGGCATACACACAGCACATTCAGTTTCCATATTAAGTCCCAAGTTTAACTGAAAGATTGACAGCAATGTTCCCAATATAGTTGATCCTATGTATTGTTCACGTCCTACATACTAAGTATACAAATACTGTACACTAGTCAGTGTGGTTGCCATCATTCATACTACCGAACAATAAGATCAGTAAAAGCACTGACTATCACTTCACATTACAAATCAAAATGTTACCATTAGTGTACAAAACATTTGTAGTTCATTTGTGCTTTCATTAGGCGATGCACTTCTAACTATTAACTTTTTCTTTAACTACTAAACAGTGAAACCTGTAAAGTTGAGAGTTGAATACCAAATAGACAGAAACAATTGGTCAGTTTTTGAGTTCATTTATAAATTATGCAAGTCTAAAAATAGCAGACTAGAAAATAGTGTTCAATACATACCTTAGTTAAAACTATGAGTGTATTTCTTATCTGTACATATTCATGAGACTCTAGACATATCACAACAGCCTACAGGAAAATAGAAAAATTAGGAAATGAAGCCGCAATTGGAAGCAATCAGAAACACTCATGACTCAAAAAAAGCCCAATAAATGAAAATTTTTCAGGATTTCATTGAAATCCGATACATTTGAGCTGAATTCAAATTCTGCACAACTGAGTATGTGACTGTACACACATATACAATGCATCATGGAAGGAAAAGTCACATTGTATATAACAGAACACTATTATTCTGGAAACTCACTTACAGCCGTTCTGAGAATTATTCGGACAGTCAGTTAGCAAAATGACTTGCAACTTTGCAAAACACTTTGCTCTTTGCCCAATCTAGACTTGTCGGCGCCACTTGAGTGACGGGCGCATGGTTTGGGATTACTATTTCATAGGGGTTGTCAGCTTGGTGAATTGTAAGTATTATCTAGCGTGCGTTCACAGCAACCATTCTTTATTTTTATAATTATATTGTAATTATTTTCAGTAATTTTGAAAATCACAAGTTAGATGTTGCTTAAATCTGTCGAAAAATGTCAACCCCTCGCTCATTTTAGTCAGTTGTACCATAGACCCTCAACAAAGGGATAGGAAACAAGGCTATTTTCTTTGTACGATGTTGCTTTGCATAATTAAAAACACATTAGTGCGAGTTTACATAAGGGTGTACAA